GGGGGGGGGGGGCTGGGAGGGGGGGGGGGGCGAGCGGGTCAGACAGCGGGGACTCGGGGGGGGGGGCGCCGGCTCAACATCGGGGAGTCTGGCTGGGTCGGGGGCCGGGTCGGCTCGACAGTGGGGTCTGGCTGGGTCGAGAGCCGGGCCGGCTCGACAGGCCCGCCGTGCGGACAAAGGCGCCCGTGACCACACGTCGGCCGACCTTGGCAGGGGCGCAGGGCCGACCCGACCGGCCGGGCGGCGGCGCCGGTCCGCCAACCGGCCGGGGGCGATGACCCGACACTCACGATTTTGATGCGCTCGATGTCGGTGCCGTTGATGTGGTACGGGTGGTCGCCGCTGACGAACGCGTCCAAGTCCTCGTAGCTGGTTTCCGTGCTGGCCAGCGGCACGGCAGGCGTCGGCGACGTGGTGTAGTTGACCGTCGTGGGGCGAGCCGTCACCGGCGCCGTCGTCGTCGTCGGGGTCGCCGCCGCGCCGCCGCTCGCCGCCGCGCCGCCGCTCGGCGCCGCGCTGCTCGCCGCGCCAGGTGTCGCGGTGTTTGCGACTGTCGTTGTGGTTGTGGTTGTTGTGGTTGTGGTTGTCGTCGAGGCAGTCGCGCTGAAACCGAGCGAACGTGCAGTCAGCTCCGGTGTGACGTCACCCAGATGGGATTGGAACGGTGTGGTGACGTCAGCCGCCTGGGAGTGGGGCAGTGGGGTGACGTCACCCACCTGGCGGCGGCGCACCACAAAGAAGCGGGAAGTCTGTCGCAACAGCGCAGCGTGACAAAGCGTTACCAGTCGATACAGAGATGAGGCGCTGGCTGCATGAGTCAATACGCCATAATGGAGCTCTGTGTGCCGATTATGGCTTACACACGTAAGGGCACGCGGAGCTCGAGGCTGTCGTCAGGCAGTGAGCTCCGGATTGTCCAGTGAACAGGCGCGACCAGCCGACACAGCACTGCTTGCGTGGCGACGCCGTCGAAGGGCGACGCCAAGCCAACCACGCAAGGGCGACTTTTGCTGCTCTCTTGTTGCGAAACGCTCTTAATGACTACCATAACGGCCGTGCTACACACCACCCGTTGGGGAACTCTGTCCCGAGGTGTGGGTGTTGTCTGCCAATGGTGACGCTTGAGACGACTGTTATACTTGCAGTCGACTGCTACACGGCTTTAGAGAACGACTGAGACTGGGTATTAGTGTCATGGGTGGAATGATTGCTCAGACTATCGTCCTCGTCCGGTGTGCTAGAATACATATAACGTTTTGGCCAGTCAACTCTCCGGCCGTCATCAGGTGTCTTTGAGTCCCAAAAAGGACTGGATGATGTTCAGTTTTCAGCCAAGCATGCATCACAACCCGAATTCTCCCCTTGGAATTGATGGGATTCGAGCCACGGTCCTCTGATTGCGAGGCCAGTGCTCCACCAATGACCTGACTCGGTAGGGCAGCGGAACTTCCTTCCGGCCAGCTCGGTTGGTAGAGGCCTGCCTTCGCGATCAGAAGGCCCTGGTTCTATTCACTCAATTCCAAGAACATAAGTCAGGTTGCGACGCGTACATGGCTGAAAGCAAAACATCGTTCGGTTCTTCTGACTTCGTAACACCCAAAAATGGCCGAACATTTAATTGGCTTCCTCTATAAAACATTAACTGGCTAAGTCCCATCTCGTAGAATCAGGTAATCAACTGTCAAAAAAGGTAGCATGTACATCACGCCAGACGAGGCGGATAGCTCGAAGAATCAATCCATCCGTGACTGTTGTAGTTTTGTACCGTTCTTCTGTGGCCACATCACCAATTTATGATGGTCATCTCCACGTGAATGTACAGGCGGCGTGTGTTCCCGCCTCATCCATGGTTCAGGGCCACCACACATTATGCATCCCACCGTATCTTTTGGAAATGCCGACTGAAAATGCAACACAATCAGAACATTGCAAATATGATGTGCAAAAGTGCTGAGTAATTCAGTCTAAGCGCATTTCGAGCCCCACTCGTTCAACATTTTGACTCCACTGCATCCACTCGACTTCAATTCACTCCACTGTATCCACTCGACTTCAATTCACTCCACTCTAGTCTACTCGACTAATCTATGTCCCGTGCCCCAACCTGCCCACCTGGCACTGTTTTCACAAAACAAACTTCACGGTAAGCCCGCTACCAAATTTGTCGTATTTACATTGCCCAGCGTTGTGACGATGCACGCACAGTAGACATTCCATTCCAACATTGTTCTTACGCTGTCTGGCTCTGCCATGACTCACAGCAGTTGGAATATACGTGCCGCTTAACACCATCCGCACGCACCGCAAGGACCCTTCCCCCCGCGCCAAACTCCCATGAACCAGACGGCGGGGCGTGCCACTGCACTACGCAGCGGCTTCGACCTTCGGTCTGTACCGTGGTCGCCTGACGCCTGAACGCCTGACAACCTTGAGCAGGCACTCTTCAGACCCATCGGGAATTCACTACATGAAAAAGGATAGCGCACTTCATACAACTTTGCCATGCACCTCGTTATGCTTGCTGTAAAGCATCGACATGCGTCATGCTTGTGCGCGCGTGGGTGCCTCGACGGTGGAAGGTCAAATAAACCATCGACCTTCTCTTGCATCTGTTGCTTTTTAGCCGCCACTAGCACCAAAGAAGCGTCAGCTAGCATGAGCCATACTTCAGGCCAGTGTAAACAAAGCTGCAGCGCACCAGCCCGCCCTCACTGGGGTTAGGGACCGGGTCTGGCACACTGAACATCGTAACCAGCCCGCCGTCACTGGGATTAGGGACCGGGTCTGGCACAGTGAACATCGTAACCAGCCCGCCGTCACTGGGGCAAGGGGCCGGGTCTGGCACAGTGAACATCGTAACCAGCCCGCCGTCACTGGGGTTAGGGACCGGGTCTGGCACACTGAACATCGTAACCAGCCCGCCGTTACTGGGGTTAGGGACCGTGCAGTCTGGCACACAGGAGACAACAAAACCAACCCGCCGTCACTGGGGTCAGGGACCGGGTTTGACACACTGGAGACAACACAAGCAGCCCGCCGTCACTGGGGTTAGGGACCGGGTCTGGCACACTGGAGATCGCAACCAGCCCGCCGTCACTGGGGTTACGGACCGGGCCTGACACACTGGAGACAACAAAACCAGCCCACCGTCACTGGGGTTAGGGACCGAGTCTGGCACACTGAACATCGTAACCAGCCCGCCGTCACTGGGGTCAGGGACCGAGTCTGGCACACTGAAAATCGCAACCAGCCTGCCGTCACTGGGTGAGGGACCAAGTCTGGCACACTGAAAATCGCAACCAGCCCGCCGTCACTGGGGTTGGGGACCGAGTCTGGCACACTCCACACCAGCGTCGACGACCGACACCGCGCCGCTGGTCCCTGCCCGAGACACTCACTTAGGGGCGGCCGGGTGGGCGGCCACGTTGGTCTGGCTGTCGGCGCCGATGCCGTTCGTTTCAGGCGCCTGGCGGGCCAGCCGCACCAGCGGCACAACCTGCACGAGCTGCGACGGCCGCTCGTCGTACGCCACGGAGGCCGCCGCACCTGTCCGAGAGGAGACGCAGCCAGCGTTAGTCGCCTCCCCACTGAAGCCGCCCGTCACCGGCACACTCGCGTGAGCCGCAAGCTCGACGAAGCGACCGCACGCAGGTCACTGCTCGGGAACTCCGAGGTCAAACACAAACTAACGTGCTAGACACGCCTGTCAATGTGTGTGGCTTACTGCGACAGCCGTTCGTCTGTTGTCTGTTTCTTTAATAGATCCTGCTATTGGAATGGCCAGAACTTGTCAGAAATGCCCATGTGTGTGGCTTACTGCGCCAACCGTTCGTCCGTAACCGATTTCTGTAATAGATCCCGCCATTGGAATGGCCAGAACTTGTGCGAAACATCAATGTGCGTGGCTTACTGCGCCAACCGTTCGTCTGTTGCCTGTTCCTGCAAACAGACCCCGCCATTGGAATGGCCACAACTTGTCAGAAATGTCAATGTGGGTGGCTTACTGCGCCAACCGTTCGTCTGTTGCCTGTTCCGGTAACACATCCCGCCATTGGAATGGCCAGAACTTCCTTTGAAAGGTTCGGCTCCAGCCGGCGATCCATTTGCAATGGAGAGCGGCCACGTGGCGTGTACAGGCATGCAAATCTGAGGGGTAACGGTACCAGGTCACGTCAGTGGGCTCCGGGCGGAAGAACAATGCAATGTCCGTGCTGTCCAGCAGGATAATGCGGCGCCGCTGGGACAGCAGCCAGTCACACGGGACTCGGAAACGCACGACATTTGAGAAAATCCACACCGTACACAGTCTGACGGGAAACGAAGCCAGCCAGAATAACAATGATTGCGGCTTTACGTCTCGCCGACCGCCATGGCCATATCGAGACGGATGCCTTTATTAGGTTATCATGTGGGATGCGGTGGCGGCGCGGCTGGGGCCCGGCCCCAGGCTCAGAGTCGAGTGCACTAATCATCACATCCCCACCGCACCCCCGCCCTGATGCGGGACACGTTATCCACATCATTGCTAGCGTGCATATTGAGAAATGCACGCAGCACGCAAGTTTTCACATGTAGCACAAACTGCGCACTTAAATCAGGGCTCTTTATCCAAGAGCTTTGTGAAGACTGCCTGTTTTGGAGCAGCCCCAAAGTGCAAAAATACATAGTACAAATCATCTCACGCCTACTATTAGCTTACAACCGTGCAGAGGTAAACACAAATAATTTGTTCTTCTTCGACAACCTGTCTATTGTTCAGGCGCTGCCATGAACTGTGAGGGAATCGGGGACACATGAAGCGCGATAAACAGGCACACCATCAACATGCTTAACTTGCTAAAAACTGACGCTCGATAAGAATTTACGGAGCCGAAGCCAGCAACTGCCCTAAAAACGTTGAAAATACACGTCGAGAATTCAGGAGTATGCTTTCTTCAGATCGAAGGACGTATCTGTGTAAACGTGCTTGTACCACTCACTCAAAGAACACACGCAAACACTCAAACAACGTGCATATATTGCCCACCCGCGGCTACAAAACGGCAGTATTCATAAGTATACAGGGCCCCTCTAAACGTATATAAAGAGGCCAAAGGGACCCGGCTGGGAGGCCCTTTTGGGCGGCTGACCACCGTTGGCCATTTGTCCGTATGTCTCTGGCTGGAGCAGAGCACGTGCACGCGCCGGCCTGAGATGCGCAACCCATGCGCGACGCGGATATACTGCAGATATGACCCTCAGAATCCGCCAGAACTGAGATGTACTACGACGTCATGTTCACTTCGCCGGGTGCAAGAACTTGGCATCCTTACGAGCCGAGCACTCGGATACCGACGAGGTGCGTTCGCTGTGCTAACGCGAGGCAACGAATGCTTTCTTTTCAATACCAAGGTGCTTAGAATCTGATGTAACGCCCTCAGAGGCAACGCACACTGCATCGTTTCCTGTCCCTGATATTCGGCGCGCTCAGAGAAGCACACAGCTTCCAACCATTGCACAACAGCCACAGCTTTGCTTTATTCTGTACATGACTCATAAGTCCCGTGTTATGTAAAGGTGCATGCCCCACTTTGAGAGTGAGCGCGTCGGCAGGTGACAGTGGTGCGCTGTCAGCAGTTTCCAGACGCCTGTTCCGTCCGCATGTCACAAACGTGGCCGCCAGCTTTGGTTCCACTCGACAAGCAAGGGCCCCGTCATATGCCGGCCATCCGAAGTTGGCTGCTTGTCCCAGTCAAGGTCATTTCTGCAGCCTGGTGAGCCATCGGGCCTCCGCTGCTGGCGCCGCGCCAGCTCGCCGACCAAGCGTCGCTCGGCGCCAGCTGTGAGTCCCTTCACAGCCCCGGCCACTTAAGGCCGCCTCTGTCTAGACGGCGACGGCGGGGAGGACGGCGGCGCCGGCGCGTCGGTCCCCGGCTGCTCGTGCGCCGACTAGCGCGTGACGCGCGTGCGTGCGCGTCGGCCAGCTGGCGTGACGGCGGCGGCGGCGGCGGCTGTTGGCCGGTCGGCGCACGAGGCCGGGCCGGAGCCGCCAGGCACCGGGCGCCGGCGCTGCAACGCTCCCGGTCAGCCGGCCGAAGCCGGTTCATGTCCGGTCGGGCGCGACCTTGCCGGCCGACACTGGATCAGGCGGCTCGGCCTCCCGCCGGCGTCGCGAGCCGACCGTCGTCACTCCCCGACATCGCCTCGCAAACGCTGGCTGTCCACGCCGCTCCACGACCCGCACAACGAAGCTGGCGGTGCACGCCGCAGACCTCTGTCCGACGGCCTGCACAAAAGAAAAAAGGGACTGGTCTGCAGAAATGCCGAAGGGAAACGGACCTGCTGCTGGCGGGCGCGGCAGCGGCCGCCGCCGGCGCTGGTGGAGTCGGAGCCCGGGGCAGCGCGGCCGCCGCCCGCCCCGTCACGCGCCTAGCCGCTATCGGCTCGGGACAAACAGCAGGCCGGCCGGCCGGCGCCCGCAGCTATCTCAGCCAATCACGCCAAGATTGGACGGAAAACGGATTCGACCGCCCTCGCACAAAGCGTCGTACCGAGCGGGCCTGGCTGGGCCGCTCGGTCGGCTGGTCGGTGGGCGGGGGACAGAGGGAGGGAGACGGGCAGAGCCGGCGCCTCGCTCCACTACGCAGACACGATGAGTCACGCTGGCGGGCTGACGGCAGCAGCGCGACGCACGAGCCATCAATAGAGAGGTGGGCCCCAGCCATATTAGAGCCAGCTTACCAGCGCTAGGCAACATTGGTCAGACTCGGCTTGCGGGGGCACGATAAACTGGTTCGGCCCGTCGGCAGGCTGGTTTCTGAACGCTGACGCCGTCCGCGACTCTGAGCTTTCCGCTGAATGTGACGTCATCCGGACGGCGACAGTTGCCTCGTCCGCCGTCTATGGTCATCGCATGTGCCTTAAAGTGGTCGGACAGCTGCACAGATTCAGAGGCAGCAGCTGCATGACACTCGATCGGCCGTCCAGCTGACCGGACGAGTCACACCAGAGGTCGGGATTCAGGGGTACGCCACTGGGCTTCCCGTCGTGAGACGCTGCCTCGTCGACCGACGCGACGAACGTATTGCCATGAGCGACACGATTCGCACCGCTATAACGACACTCAGGTGAACAACGCGATGGGATTTCCATGTCAGCTAAGTCCGCCGTTAAACACAACCCGGCGATTTGATACCACAATATCACAATTTGATGGCACAATATCACAATTTGATAGCACGGTTTGGCGGGCAAACCTAAACAAGATGAAACGTGCAAGGGGTCTGGTCTGGTTGATGGCGCCGGTATCAGCACGTGCCGCTCTCTGACTTCGTCCCTCCTTAGAGCAACTTCAACGCGAAATGTCACGATCCCGTGCTAGGTAATTTATATCAACAATAAAGGCTTTGAGCTCATGTTTTTTCCGGCATGATGAGATGGAAGCCCTCATATTGAACAAGCATAGCAAGATAAACAAGATACGCGAAGATGGCTCTACTGATGGCACGCTCATTGATGCACGGCGCTGAAAGAACTCAAATACGCTATCTCTCCTGACCGCAGTTGGGAACGCGGACCATCTGACGTCCGGCGCACCCCGAAGACAAGAAAGAAGAAGAATGCAACGGAGAACATCCTGTCCATTTTGCAACAAGGCTGATGTTTCGCTGACCGGCTCTGCTCCGATCGATCAGCTGGTTGGCCGCACGGGGATGAGGAGCTAGCGGCGTAATGTAATGGCCGAGTGGCTATCGCCGTCGGCTCCCACGTGGGGCCCCCGGTTCGAAACCCGGCTGCGACATAGCCCGTGAACGCTAGTATGGCGCCTACGGTCGCTGTCACTCCAAACAGAAATGCAATGGGAGCTATCGAGAAGTGAGCGTGCACGGATTGCGACCGTGCATTTGGGACTAATGAATCCCTCAGATCCACCCAGCCCCGATTACAGATTCGTACAAGAGCTAAGTTCGTTTTACAAGTTGCATTCATTACATGTAACTGCTAAGTTTGGAACTACACCAAGTAAAGCACGTTTGAATTTTTAGTCGGGAATTCTCATCTTGAAACGAATTGAATTTCAACACACCAGACGGCACTGGTCGCATTGGTCAAACAACATTATTACGCAAGCATTGGTCACGCATGAACCAAAGTTGGTCTTGGTATGCAGCAACGACGTTTTTTTCCCTTAGGATGCATAGTGATCACATTACACACCCTGCGACGATTTCTCAGTGGCACATTGAGTGCACAGCATTGGCCACATGCAGCTGTTGTTTGTATGTGGTGACTGTCACATGGGATATTTCTGCGATCGCACTACAAAATATTCCGGTAAGTGCAATTAACACAGCTAGCATAATCAAACCTGGCAAATATGGCGCGCTTAGAGAGCATCCAAGACATGGCCATCGAATGGATGCTCTGGGTACTGGATTTCATTAGTTCTATGATGATTAAAACCAAAAATTACCAAAACAACTAAGCCATGAGCAAGTGAGTTGCTGATGTTGACAACTGGTCACTGACCTACTGACAACTGGCTCAGTTGTAACAACCGAGTCATCATGATCAGTTGTCACAACTGAGCCAGACAGTGACAATGAAGTCAGAACAACTGAACCAGTGACAACTGGCCCATGACGACTGAACCAGTGACAACTGGCCCATGACAACTGAACCAGTGACGACTGACCCATGACAACTACACCAATGAAAACTGACCCACTACAACTGCACCACTGACAACTGATCCATGGCAACTGCATCAGTGACAACTGACCGATGACAACTGCACCAGTAAAAACTGACCTTTGACAACTGAATCCGGGACATTCCTTGGATGTGCTGGATGTCCCTAGGTAACCCCCCGCGCATGACGTCAAGCAGAGCTAAGCACGAAGTCTGAAATGTGCCCACTTATGCTTTCACTGATATCGGGATGTCCCTCTGTAATTACCTGGGTGCCAGCGATTGAGGATGGGGTGCTGGGTCGATTGACAATCATGACGCATTCGGCCACCAAATGTCAGCAAGGATGCCCCATTTCAGTCGCAGCCGACCGATCCATCGGACATAATGACTATGAGGAGCTAATGGAGAACAAGTCGGGCTGGGGCCCCTACCTGGAGATGGCCTGGTGTAAACAAATGATGATGTGCTGGCTGGGCTGGCATGAATTATTCTTGTTGGAAGGCAACTTCAGTTTGTGCCTATTGGAAGACCACATAACCTAGCAATGGTGGATTTCCTTAAGGATGATAATTAAAAAATGATACCCCAGGCCTCCATTAGGGCAAGGTGACATCATTGCCACAACCTGTGTGGTGATGTTGGAGTTAAATACATGGAAGAGTCCTCAAATTATCATTCACTTCTCTCTGATCCAACTGTCACTGGGCCAATAAGCCTGGTTTGATTGTCACTAGGGAAATCATCACTGGACTAGATGTCCTGGTCCAGTTACTACTGGCTCAATAGCCACCAGTTCAGTTGCCGCTGGCCCAGTTGTTAATGGTTCAGATGAATATGACTCTGTTCTGCTGATTCATTTGTCACTGACCAAGTTACCTCTGGTTTGGTTGTCTGGTTACATGCATCTTACCTGGATGCCTGATATAGCAGATAACACCTACACAGCAGGATAACCCAGGCACATGGTGATATATCATGACACACATTTTCACCACGGGTGAGGGGACCCTTCTGTGTTTAGGCTGTGTGTTGAGCTGACCTGAGTTGTGCTTAGGGATGTAGCCAATAGCAGGGGGGTGACAACATGACCTGAGTCATAATATTTACACTAGATATGCACATTTTGAAGGAATTTGGTCAAAATCCACACAATAAACAAAACTTCACATTTTACACTCAAGATAAGTGTTTTCCAGCTGTTTAACTGGGCATAACTTGTGAACATCTGGTAAGCCATATCACGGAACCCACATAATTTCCTTGCCTTGATAGCTCTAAGATCAGGTATTGCATGTACAGAGCATTTGCCTCACAGCTACAAACAGTAGGGCATTGTGGTCTTCCATTTCATACCACACCCATTTTTCAGTTAATACAACTTAAAAAAGAAGCTAACTATGACCATGACCAACTCTTTTTTGAAATTTAGTTTGAACCTTTTGAATGGATGGATTTCTGGGATCAGAACCCAAGCTAAGCAGTGCTTGTGTGAGCCCTGACCTACACCATCCAACCACTCAAATCCAGAAAGTTTGATATACCACAATGTTTAACATCATCCTATGCCCTCTGCCATCACCTGACCTTTATGGTGGCCCACCTCTGCCACCTGCCATACCTGTCAAGGTCAAAAGCTAGCACCTAGCGACTTGGGCCCACCCTTCCAGAGGTGGAGGTAGGCGGATCTGAAGGTAGAAGCCAAAACCAACTGAGCTGTCAGGACAGAGTGTGATCTGCATTGCATAAAAATTGGTCTGCATCACAAATCAACTGAAGCTGTAAAATAAAATGGATCAAAATTAATTAAGCCATCCAAGGTAAAAAACCTGATTATTTGATAATGTCTACATGTCACTGCCTTGATGTGGATAATATGCCCATATCTTGTTTCAGCAGATTCATCTGTGATTGGAATACTGCACTTCCAGTTTCCAGGATATGGTCTGTGATGCAAATGAAATACAAAAATGAACTATGCAGTATATGCCCAGATAGTGGCACTAATTTAACCAAACAACATATCAATGAAAATGCATTATCTGGCTGGATACCTAGGCACTGCCCAAAGCACAAACTCCACAAATACATCTTAAGCCCAACATACCAGATGTAATAGTGAAGTTGCAGCACTTACACAGCAAGTTCTCAAATGCAAGAGTTAAGTGCACGGCCACCACCAGATTGAGTGCACAGAGAGCTCAAATTTCAGGGAGCTTTAGTGTTGCAAAGGTCCTTTAATGCGAAAATATTTCAAATGTGTTTGCCATGCAAAAATAATGTGAAGATTCGGCAGAATTTGGCCTGGCCCAAGGGCACAAGGTGGTCCAGTACATGTCAAAGGCCATGACCAAGCTCGTAAGCTCTTACTTTGGAACTTAAGTACCTATGACAGGGAACTTTCAAGCACTGCAAACATGTTGCAACCTCAGCCCCAGTGCCACTGCTATGGGTGATCACATTACTGCACATCAAGAACCATAAAAATGTACAGGGCCCATTGACAAGAATCCAATGAAATATGCTTCTTGCGTATCCAAGCAGTCCTCCGTAGTGTTTGTAGATTAGTCAACATGAGGGGCAAATATGATGTATTCAGTTGGGGATGGAAGGCAAAATAAGAGTATGGTAGCTAAACAAAACTTCTTCATACGGTACATATATATGGCATTGAACACGCGTGCCAATAGGATGCTGGGTTGAAGGGGATAGGGTGGGGAGGTTAGGTTAGGTTAGGTTAGGTTAGGTTAGGTTAGGTTAGGTTAGGTTAAGTTAGGTTAGGTTAGGCTGTACTAGGCTGGGTTAGAATAGGTTAGGTTAGGCTAATTTAGGCTATGTTCTGGACTATTTTGGCCTGTCTGTTTCATAAAAATACCTACATGCAATAAGAAACATACTTCATTGAATTATTACTGTTATCTTGGCCCCATACATTTTTATGGTTCTTGATAAGCAGTAACATTGTGACCACACAATAATGTAGCGACTGCACTGGAGGGGGGGGGGGGGGGGTCAAGACAGTGGATTGTGTGGGGCACTCAGGAGCTCACTATTGTAATTATTCAAATTTGAAGGTAGGAACATGAATCTATCCATTCTGTGATTATTTGTGATGTTTGGCCTTAACTACAAAGAATGATGTCCAATGCTCTTGTTTAACATTAGGTAGCAATATATACCTATGCCAACCCAACCTTCAACAATTTGCATACAGGTGGCTAACTCACAAACCAGTCACAAAGACCAAAACTTCCACGAAATACCCTCAAAAATTTTAGATTTAACTGATAACCATCCTACTGGCTTTTCACATCAATTCACAAAGCACCTTCCAAACTCATCAGCAGCCAGCATGTGGACACCTTTGCCTACATGCAAAGCTGGAGCCATGGCACATGGAAGTAAACCTAAAATCAGTTAAACCTCTTTGTTTTGACAATATTTTGCACGTGCCTGCCTGCCGCTGTAAGGCTGTTCCACTGAAATGAAAAATTGTAATGTGAACCTACCTTGGTGCAATGCAGAGCAGAAAGGCACAATCTGGACGGCAGCGATTGCGAGCAGAACAAACTGCCATGGCGAGTGGAGAAGTATTTTCAACCGCGTGGTCATGATGGGCATATTCCGTTGCAGGACACCACTGGCAGGGTCAGATCGCACTTGGCAAGACGCTTGTAAAACACACTCACTGTCACATAAGCTCCGTAAAACAAAGTGCTACGCGCCCTCCCGCAGCTCACACCTTTTCGCAATACACTTTCCAAGGCCGTTCCCGCTCCACGCCACCAACCACCACCGAGACGGTCGGGGATCCTATCAAAAGCTAATGCTGAGCTGGATGCTGAGAGACTCCCCCAGTGATGCTTTGCTCTTTGTGCACTAAAGGGGCTGGTAAACGACAGCTGACTGGCATTATCAGTCTCAGAATTGTCTACTACTAAATATTTTTTGGACTTAAGTGAAAAACTGCTCGTGTACATGACAGTTTTTGTCTCATAGAATGAAATCCAAGCATCACAGATAATCCTGATTTATGAAATTGAAAAGCTGTATGGATACTGAGCCGTTATTGTTGAACACACAAGCACATAAGCACATGAGCACCTTTTATTTATTCGCCGTTCCCACCCACTCAAATCGCTCAGATTTAGGATCAGCTGAAACTCTGCGCCAGTTTTGTCCTGAGGATGCCTGACAGGAGGGGAACACATTGCCTCTGTTGACGCCGACGTGACAGTAACAACAGCGTTGTATTCCCCTGCGTCGATGGCTGGCCCGAGTCGGGGGTTCGTAACGCGGACGTTACCGGAGGCTGTACATCTCATGTTTCTATTACTTTGTGTACTTCCATGTGCTCGGTGAAGTCAGAGTGTGTCGCCGTGTCGTTAACGCCAGCGCGATCCACGTAAATTCAGGCCCGCATCACCGGTGGCCAGGTCCACCGGCATCGGTGAGGACACGGCGTTTTGCCGTTTGTGTCATCAGTGTAAGTAGATGTATACCTAGCCGTGTAGAGCGTGGTACCTGCTCATGAATGCAATGCTCTAGTCATGTGGTGTGCATTGTTCATCTGCGTGAATGCTGTATGGCTGGCAAATTAACATGTATTTAAACAAGACCTGTTTTAGTATGAGAGAAAAATATTAATTGTTCCCAGCCATGTTCTTTTCAGGGGTGTTCGCTTACATCATGACTTACACAGATGTATTCCAATTCATGTTGGCCCCACCTTGGCCCAGGCTGGTACGTTTTGTTCTGTGGCATTCATTTGTTCTTGTCTGATACCAGTGAAAAGCCTTGTCCACTGCACTGGACATCATGCATGCATGCAAGTTGACACCAGTGGGCTGAACATGCCATTTCATTGCATCAATCACAGGCCAGGCTAAGTCTTGCAGATCCTTGTGAATTTAGTTCTCTCTAAAATGAATTCTAAGACAATTTTGCCTTAACAAACCTGTCTTACTTTATTGATATTGCCACATTGCCTATTTGATTTGTTGCCAGCATTGGGCTCCATATGTATTGAAATAAATGGTGATTTTTTAAAATATTTCCTCTGTGTGCTGACATCTGTGGTAGCCATGCTTCAAATTCAGAGCATGGAGTGTATGCCCTGAAATGATTCATATGACATGTGTTGTTTGCTGTCTGGGTACAAGCAACCCTTTTGTTTACATGTGCAGTCTGTTTCATTGTAGTAGGGTTCTGTCTGTTCTCTTGCATATTGTTTAGATGTAATTCAGACCTGCCATGTCCTTAACAATTACAATTGAGCCATGTTCAGTTTGGTAACTTACATGTATTATCCAATAACCATGCCATGTCTGGCTTTTATATGCAATGCAATTATGGCTTTCAAAGCATAAAACATTCAATTTCCTTTTCATGATCTCTATGTGCCATTTGCTTATAATGGCTTTTGGATGGATCTGATATCTGGATACCACCCTTTGTAGACCATGCGGGCTCGACATGGAGGAGGTGGCAGTGACAATGGGAAAGAAGGATTCACTGAAGTCTCTGCTGATGCGGGCCTGGCGGGAGCGCTGGGATGAGCAGGCATGGGGCATTGCCATCAAACAGGTGTGCAGCACTCAGACTCTTGCCATGTAAGATGTCTGAGAACATGCAAAGCTAGGTTCTGTAGTGGGCCATGTTTCATATGTGCAGCAGACCAGCAACAGTACCTCAATGAAGAAGCAGCGTAATGTGTGACATGCTGGCACCAGGAAATGTCAGGTTAATTGGAATGCATTTAGACCCAATGCCTGCCTGCACCATCCCCATCCAGATCTTGCCTGATGAAGTTCATTGCTCATTATGTGCCAGAACAGGTGCCAGTGCAAGATTTCCTTGAAACTTGCATATCTGTTCCTGATCCAACCTGCATGCAACTGGCACCTGTCCTTGACATGTTGTGCACACGGTGCTCATGATCAGCTGGTCGTGAGGGCGCCTGGCGCCAGGACTGCTGCTGCGCTGCCATCTGGCGCCGAGCTGGCCGGTGACGCGTTATGAACTTCCGCCACTGTCTCCAGATTCTGCCGCGTGGCGTCAGTGGCGACGTCTACGACCTGGCGCCCACCATGTTGCAGCTGTCGACCGGAGGGCCTGCAATCAACACCATCATCTTCCGATACATCAAACACTCGCTCTGCTCAGGGGTGCGAGCTCTCATTGTACCATCGCGTGCACGGCGCCGTGGACTTTGCTCCAGCTGGAGTCCTAGAACGTTTACGCTAGTGTATGTGCACTGGCATGGAGAGAAAACAAAACCTCAAGTAATGTTTCGTTGAATTGGCGGGATTATCGCTTCATGTATGCATAGATTTGTGTCTAAACAGAGTGTTTGAAGCCTTTGTGGCATTTGTTACATCAACATTTTGACATATTAGTGTGTTTTAAATATTACAAAACACATGTTGGAAAAGCAAGGCAAATGAAACGAATCACTTCCATAGTGCTGACCAGGGCATCAAAGGGTATTTTTCGGCAGGGTCGGCACCTTAAAGCCAAAATTATGAGCTATTCAGGGGAAGTTTCAACGAAACTTGTATTACTGATCAAATTGCACGCATCTGGTGGAGCAATAAGTGATAAGTATCAACACTCTTTACATGCTCTGCAATCTTGAAAAGAATCTTCTAAAGCAAGAAATCCACTGGACTGCACAATGGTGTCAGCGAGATCAGAGTGACCACTGCAATGCTCCACACTTGTGCTCACGGTGGCCAATGTGCCGCAGATTATATCGCACCAGGCTGTACTGGAAGCAGTGTCGGGATTCCGCAGCTTCGACAAGGTCCACTGTGTATCGGCGTGCCTGGGTATTGTGGCCATTGTGGAGGTAGGTCATACAAAACTTTCAAATGGTTTGTCATCACTGTGGCACGGAACGCTGGTTCGTGGTACCAGAGCTGCTTTTCACTGCGTCACGGCGCATCGCTTGTCACCGTGTCACCGCGCGTCGCGTGTCACGGTGTCGCCGTCCGTCGCGTGTCACTGCCACTGTGCATCGCGCGTCACTGCTCTTCGCGTGTCACCGTTACTGCGCGTGGTGTGTCACTAAATCACCGCACGTTGCATGTCACTGCCACTGTGTCACTGCGCTTCGCGTGTCACTGTGCGCGCCTATGTTGCAAACTTGCAGTCGTTGTCAGAGCTGCCGCGGATAAGCTGCGCACAAGCAGCGTCTTATCTGTAGGCACACGCTTTCCTCCGCTCGTGTCGCTCATCTTCCCCAGTTGTGTTCCTCCCTCCGTCTATCGGTGCTGTATGTGCGGCGTTCTCTGAGTCGTGTTGCGACGACCGCCTCGCTGTGGGGGTGGCCGGCCGGTCGGCCGCCGCTGTCCAGTGACGCGCCGCCGTCTGCCCGCCGGCCGCCCAGAGCCAGGTGCAGTGCCGTGGCAAGCAGGAGGAGTGCATGGCGCTGGCGTGCTCCGTGCTGGCGCTGGTGGAGTGGCTGTCGGCGCTGGCCGAGGCGGCGAGCGCGTCGCCGGCCGAGCCCGAGCGGCCGGCGCTGCTGGCGCGGCTGGCCGGCCTCGCCGACAGCGTGGCTCGAAACAGCTTCCTGACGGCGCTGCTGTACCTCGGCCGGCTGGAGGATCCCGGTCAGTGGCGCGGCGGCGGGCGGCACCCAGCCGGGCGCGGGGCGGCACTAGATCGAAACACGCTGTCGGGGAGGGGTGCCCGGGGACGCATGCGTCCGAGGGTTGGTAAACAGACTGCGCTGGCCAGGCGAGGCTTGAAGTCAATTGTGATGCAGTGAATGTCAGTGCCCGTGATGAAGCTGAAATAAACAGCTACATTGGATCTTCTTGGAATGCTCTCAAGCCTTATGTCCATTGCGCCAATGACCAATTTAGCGGCAGACACCATCTGGAAACGGTAGAAGGAAATGAATAGACTGACCGCGTTCTAGCACCTCTCGATGTTCACAGTCAAAGCGGGGCTCGTCACCAAAGTGCTGAACCATCTGGGAGAGGAGCTGGAGGAGCTCGGGGAACACCAGAGCATCGTCAGACACCTCCGGTGGGTGCCCGGCCGCCTCTGTGGCCGTCCGGTCGTCTGCCGAGACTGATCTCGACAGGAGACTGATCTTAACAAGAGACTTATCTCAACAGGAGACTTGTCTTGACAAGATACTTATCTCGACAGGAGACTAGTCTCGACAAGAGACAAATCTTGACAGGAGACTAGTCTGGACAAGAAATTAGTCTCGGCAGGAGACTTATCTCGACAGGAGATTAGTCTCGGCAGGAGGCTTATCTCGACCGGAGATGTATCTTGATAGGAGACTAATTTCGATAGCAGGCCAATCGCGACAGGAGACTAATCTCGGCGAATGACCCGAACTCGGCGCGGTGCGGCAATGTATGAGCTGGCCGGATGTCTGTCGGATGCAAAGCGTGCCGGACGGGGATGATGCACAGCGGCCGGCACGAGACGGGCCCCACGACGCGCCGACGAACCACCTGCGACCAGCGGGTCGCTAATGTGCTCTGTGACCCCGTCCCCCGGCGGTGGTCTGTCTGGGTGGTACGCGGAGCTGGGCCGGGCGCCCACCCCGGGCCTGACATGCGGGCCGTCCGCCGGCAGGACGCTGATGGAGTACGAACCGTCGGCGAGCCTCTGGCCGTCGACCGAGTCGAAGCCAGTGGTGCCCAGCGTGCACTGCCTGCTGCAGGTGGAGCTCACCTGCTTCCGGGTGCGGCCGCCGCAGGCGCTGGCCGACCGGCTGCTGCTGCTCCAGCAGACGCAGGTCAGCTGGCCGCGCGGCCTGGCCGCAGCGGCGGGGGCCACGCCCTGTACCGATGGGCTGCCGCCGCCGGCGTGCCTCTGGCGCGCCCGGTGCCTGTTGCCCGGCGCCCTGGCACAGACGTCGGCCCGCTTGGATGGGGCGACTCGCTCTCGCGGCTCCACTCAGCACCGTGACCTCCCCCGCGTCGGCCAGCGGCCACCTGGACCGCCCTCGGCCGAGGTGTCGACGGCGCACGTGTGTCTCGATGCGCCAGAGGAACTAGGTGTCATGTGAACGTGTCAGTGAGGCTTGGTCTTCACCTCACAGGCCGATGTTTGGCAGCGCCGCGGGCGCGTGGTTGGTGGCGAGGACGCCGCTGCGATGGAGCCCCTCTCCCGCGCCGCCGCTGCGACTGACTGAGCGTCGTCGCCGCAGGGCATGTCGGCCAGGGACCTGTACTACAACATCGTGCGCACCTGCTGCGACGGCCTGTCGCAGTCGGTCGGCACGGACATGGGCCGCTACTGGGTCCAGTTCACCTACCACCGGCTGCCCAAACTGATGGTCTGCCTGCACAGCGCGCTGGCCGGTGAGCCCTGCCGCGACGCCCGCCGTCGCTGCTGCCGCGCCGACCGCGGCCAGGCCGGGCCGGCCGCCGCCCTCCGGGATCAGCGGCACTGACCGCCTGTGTAGCTGCTCTTGGTTGATGAGAGCAGCAGTGCTCACATTCGTCTGTTGCGGTGGTGCGATAAGATTTAAATTTTGGTTAGGGTAAAACTGCGCTTCATTGGGTGACTTTTGAGGCGCACCCAATGGCTTCAACCGCTAGCATTCTGTGGTGATCATAAAGAGACCCCTCCCGCGAGACATTTTCGAAATTTTAGTAAAGTCCCATTTCCGACGTCCCATTCAGCGACCGTGCATGATTGATATTCGGAAGTGATGTGATTCTTCTGTATTGCAATGCAAGCAAAAGGCCTTTTCGTTGTCGACAAATGCGAATTTGTATATATAATATGGCGAGGCTGTGTTTGTGTGTCTGCACCCCCCCCCCCGCGTGACCTCGCGTGACGCTCGGCCAGGCTCTGGTGGGCCGTCGACTGACCTGGCGGCCGCGTTCTGGCGGCTGGTGTCCAGCGGCGGCCAGCTGGACCTGGTCGACTTGCTCTACAACCGCGACAACCAGGACACGCTGGAGCTGCTGCTCAAGGAGATGACGAAGACCGAGGTGCTGTCGGAGCAGGACTTACAGCGCATCATGGAGCACAGGTGAGCGCTGTTGGGCGCAATCCCGTCAGCCGTGTCCCCAAGAATGTTTGCTGTCAGGTGGACCTGGATCCCAAACCGTAGTAATGTTACACAATCACCTATTTCACATCGTTGAATGATGGTCCTACATGTAGGAGCAGCAAAATTATACGTCTGTGTTAAATTCTGCGGGAAAGATACATATTCTGTTTTGGGAAGGGATGACTTGGAGAATGGGTTTGTTTAAAAAACGAGAGGAGGCATGTCCCTGTCACTACACCGAGCTATCATTTTCCGCGCCCACCCATCCTGGCCGGATTTCTCCGCCTAGACGCCCAGCCGCTAATTCCCTGTGGTTACCGTACGCTGCGACACCGATGAGCTGACCTCTATCGGTCTTCGGTGACCGACAGAGGTTAGGTCACCAGCGGCGGCTGCGCTCCCGAGCCGCTGCGGTTAGGTGGGCTGCGTCGTAGCCATGCCTCTGCGGTGTGTCCGATCCCGTGTGACCAGGTGGGAGGTGACTCGGGTCTCTGTGTTACGTCTGTGTCGAAGCCGCGCGTCTGTGGTATGTCCGATCCCGTGTGACCGGTGGGAGGTGACTGGAGTTTATGTGTTGCGTCTGTGCCGAAGGCGTGTCTCTGTGGTATGTCCGATCCCGTGTGACCCGGTGGGAGGTGACTCGGGTCTCTGTGTTACGTCTATGCCGTAGCCGTGCCTCTACGGTATGTCCGATCCCGTGTGACCGGTGGGAGGTGACTCGGATCTCTGTGTTACCCTGGCGTTCCTGTGTGACATACGTGTGCCACGCTGGGCCTGCCTGCGTAAAGCTGTGCTGCCGTCTCTGTGACGCACCGTGCGCAGGTTGCATCCATGCTTGCGGTAACCGGTGCGTGCGTTGACGTGCATGTTATCAGTATATGTTTTCCTGCTGACCTGTCTCCGTGAGTGGAGGATATAAAGACAATGCAGTCTGTGCAAAGTTCCGGGACCAGGTCTCTTACCGGGTAAATGCTGAAATTATGTCTCGGTGACGGTTGATGGTGACAGTTGATGCGGCCTCCATGCGGCGCTCGGCTGGCGGTCCGTGACTCTGACCGCTGGGTGTGCGGTGTCGGCCGTGACTCTGACCGCTGGGTGTGCGGTGTCGGCCGTGACTCTGACCGCTGGGTGTGCGGTGCTGTCTGAGGCTGACCGCCTTGGTGTGCGGTGCCGACTGTGACTGACCGCTGGGTGTGCGGTGTCGACTGTGACTCTGACCGCTGGGTGTGCGGTGTCGGCCGTGACTGACCGCTGGGTGTGCGGTGTCGGCCGTGACTGACCGCTGGGCGTGGGGTGTCGGCCGTGACTCTGACCGCTGGGTGTGCGGTGTCGGCCGTGACTCTGACCGCTGGGCCTGTGGTGTCGGCCGTGGCTCCGACCTCCGAGCCTGTGGTGTCGGCCATGACTCTGACGTGCGGGCCTGTGTTGTGGGCCAGGGCGGAGGTGAGCCGGGCTCCGCGGCTCCGGCAGCTGCAGTCGGCCATCACGCAGAACTGCTCCAGCGACAGTCCGACGAGCATCCTGCGCGCCGACCCCACCGTCAAGAGCATCCTCAACACCATGGAGGTGCAGCAGCAGGTGGGCGCCCGTGCCACCCGCGATCCCCGCCCTTGCCTTCCGGTCCCCTCCCGGCTCAGGCCCGGCCCAGCTCAGGCCCGGCCCCAGCGCAGGCCCAGCCCCGCCGTCTGCCCCGTCGGTCGCCAGACGGCGAACCGACCGACGGCTGGCATTGTCGGTGCTCCACACCCCCCGCTCGGGACGCCGGCCAACCGACACTGGAGAGCCTCGCGGCGGCTGTTCCCTTGAGTGTGACTCCGCTAGTCGTAGGTAGTAAGTGCATGCAGCCGACGCGTTCCGAGTTATGTTGTTGGCACCCGGCACGGCGCGTTACGCACGCTGTGTTTCCCGACCGTGCCCTCCGGATGTGGAGTCCACGCGCAGAGTTTAGGGCGTGCGGCATCGTTGGCCGTGCGCCGGCGGCACGCAGTGTCCAGGACACGGTCCGTTGTGCCGCTCTGCCGTCGCCCGCTGCTGACGACGCTCTCCGGTGGACTGCCAGGAGGCCGGGATCTCCAAGATCACCACGGTGCTGTTCCACATGCTGGGGCCGTCGCAGCATCTGGTGATCGGTGCCGCCGTCGGAATCGGCAAGGTCCAGCTGCTGATGAAGGTGGGAGCACCGCCGCCGCCGGCCCTGTGACGGTGCCGCTGTGGACGCGGTCAACGACAGAGCGGCGCCCCCTCCCCTTCTCCCCTCCGCTGGCAGTTCGCGTCGGAGTGTCCGCTCATTCTCAGACTCGGCCCCCGGGACGAGGAAGCCGCGCGACCTCAGCGTCCGGCGGAGCTGCGGCGGAGGAACCGTGTCGGGGTGGTCAGGGGCGCGGGAGGAGGTCTGTGGTCCGTGCCGGTGGCGCTCACGACCCAGGATTAGTCCCTGGAGGTCTGGTGCTCACCTTCCCCGCCAAGCGTCCGTGGTGAGGGCCTTGAAAAGTTTGGGACTCTTGCTTGGCGTTGGAATGGGTCGTCTCAGTGACTCCCATTGTCAATTTCGCACATGTGTCCTCAGCACTTGATCATGCTGAACAGCTTGCGGACCTCGCCGTCGGCCGAGTCGCCGTCCATTATCAAGAACCAGGCCATCCTCTTCGAGGTTACATTCCTCATCGTCATGACAACCGTAAAGAACTACGGCCTGGAGGTGAGAGACGTTGTCCCGCTGGGTCGCTCTCGGTGGGCCGATCTGGCTGATTGGGGCCGTACAGGGGCTTCATGTCGGCGCCAGCTGGCCCTCTGAACCTGGAGCGGGCCCGGGTAGTGAGCGCCTGATCGGGATTGAGACGTCGACCGCGCTCATGCCAAGTCTGTAGACGGCACCCGAGAGTCGGGCGCAGTCTGCCATAAGCGAGTCCCGTTGAGGAAGTCCGTGGTGTCACCGGCGTCCGATGGCACGCCAATTGTATTCGTCACCCGTGGCAAGTGCTATTTATGCACAAATCACTCGCCGAGGATCCACTCTGGGTGTGTGGACGTGGAGCGAAAGGGCAGGACGGGGTCGTGACACGCACATTGCTGTGCGCGTGGTCAGATGACAGCGAGCGTAGGTGCCGTCGTGGCCTCGTTAAGCAGTGTCCGCTGGCCGCCGCGTCCGGCCTTGCGTCCGTGGCGTGGCGGCGTCTCGGCGACCTCTGGTGCTGACGGCCGCCGGCTGCGCGCGCGCAGGCGCTGCCGCCGGCCCACTCGCTCAGCTGTCCGGACACGGGCGCCGAGCCGTTCATCCAGCGCTGGATCCGGCTCTGCTACCGGCCGATGAGCGGACGCAGTGTGCTGCAGCTCACAGGGCTGGGCGAGCCGGGCCGCTTCACCAAGCTGTACGACCGGCTGATGACGCCCGGCGCCAGTCTGCTGGTCAGGTGAGGACCGCCTGATCGCCAGGTCGGGTCACCCGCTGGTCGGGTGGGTCACTGCTGGTCAGGTCGGGTCACCCGCTGGTCGGGTCGAGTCAGCTGCTGGTCAGGTCGGGTCACCCGCTGCTCAGGTCGAGTCAGCTGCTGGTCAGGCCAGGTCAGCTGCTGATCACACAGGAACCATCGGGCGGTCGGGTGAGCACGACCTGTCGGTTAGGTTATGATCGCAGGGGACCACCTGCTGGTCCCGCGAGTGTAATACGTCATTTGGGTGAGGATCGTTTTTAAGTTCATCAGAGAACAGCCGCTGGCAGGTCACGTTCCTACCACCACTTGGTTACATGAGGACTAATGACTGACCATGAACGAACGACCCTGTGGCCGCGTGGGCGTGGTCTGGTACCCACATGAGCGCGTGGCTCGCCGCTCATCTCCGGTAGCGGGCTCTGCTGAGAGGGGGCGCCCCTCCCCCGGCCGTCCCCTGACGTGCCGTGTTGTTGTGTCGGGCAGTACCGTCCGTTGGGACGAGGTGTGCCTCAGCGTGCCGGCCTTTATCTACTGGCTGCTCCTCTCCTGGTGCAACGGCAGCGTGTCGGCGGAGCAGGTGCAGACGGTGGTGGACAACATGAACCGCCAGTTCGCCTGCCTCTCCGTCTGCGTCGTCGTCTTCCTCAACTCCGTGCTGCAGGTGGGCGTGACGCGGTGCGGTGCGGTGTGGCGTGGCGTGGCGTGGCGTGGCGTGGCGTGGCGTGGCGTGGCGTGGCGTGGCGTGGCGTGGCGTGGCGTGGCGTGGCGTGGCGTGGCGTGGCGTGGGCGTGGCGTGGCGTGGTGTGGCGTGGCGTGGCGTGGCGTGGCGTGACGCGGTGCGGTGCGGTGCGGCGCGGCGCGGCGTGGCGTGGCGTGGCGTGGCGTGGCGTGGCGTGGCGTGGCGTGGCGTGGCGTGGCGTGGTGTGTGGTGTAATGTGGTGTGGTGCGGTGCGGTGCGGCGTGGCGTGGCGTGGCGTGGCGTGGCGTGGCGTGGCGTGGCGTGGCATGGCGTGGCGTGGCGTGGTGTGGTGTGGTGTGGTGTGTGGTGTAATGTGGTGTGGTGCGGTGCGGTGCGGTGTGGGGTGGTGTCATGTGGTATGTGGTGTGGTGTGGTGTGGTGTGGTGTGTGTTGTGTGGTGTGGTGCGGCGCGCCGCGGACCCGCCTGCTTTCGCCGCGCCGCTGTGTTCGGGTTGCGTCTCTGCACGCGTGTTGTTTTAACGGACTGGCCACCGGAGGTACCTCGGCGCCTCTGCCCAATGCTGGTGGGCTTGAGGCGGCTGGTGCCAAACCCGTCACCTGCTCGCGACGCAGCGTCGGCCCACCCATGAGCCGAGCATTTCCTGACCGTGCAGCCACACATGGCTCGCGTGCCGCCGGGCGCCGCTGCTGGTCACGTCCGTCCGTGCTCTGCATGCTCGTCCCTCCTGTACCCGGCCGTCCGCGCCTGACTACCTCTCCCGTGCCTGCCCGTCCTCCCCTCAGCGCGTCGGTCGTCGCGTGACCCGCCCCCACAGACTGAGGCGTGGGACACAGACACAGACAGACACAGGCCCCGTCCAGGCTCATTCCGGCGTTGCTGACGTCACCAAGGGGTGTGGCAACTGCAACAACTGGTGTTTATTGACCTGGCAACGCGCACCAGCTGCAGGCGCATGTATGTTTGACATATGGGCGGTGCAGGATCAGAGGTTGGGTGGATAAAGATACCGGCTGGCGATGAGGCCGCGGGCTGCCTCATCATGCGGAAGTCTGCTGCGCGGTGATGATGTAGGATAATTTCAAGCTTCGCCGTACCTGCGGTGTACATGTTGGCTTTGGATCTGCTGATTCTCGTTCTTGCCACCTGTAGACATGCTGACATTGTTCTTTGTTGGGCGTGTGGCGCAATTGTTAGATGCTACTGCCTCAAGACAGTTGGGGCACTGAACGGCATTTGGTAGGGTAACCAAGCCTGACCCTCAGGTTATGGTAACCAAGCCCGACCCTCAGGTAATGGTAACTGATCCCGACCCTTAATGGTAATGGTAACCAAGCCCGAGATGTAACACGGTATCAGACGTGCGGCTTGTGGCGACGAGGAAAGTACCGCCACCTTCGAGTCAATGCCGCATTCATTCTGCAAGCTTAGAAAAACCTAAGCCTGGCTTGTGCCTGTGTTCCGCATTCATTTTTGCCGTCCTCTGGAACGGGCAAAATGTGTGTTCTTACCTTGCGCATTGAAAATCACGTACCATGTGATTTCTCCCGATGAGCCCGTCCTAGCCGCCGTTGGTGACGCCTTCTGCCCCGCCGGCAGAGCCCCGACGAGCGGCTGGTGCAGAAGGTCTGTCTGCTCGTCAGCATGTACTAGGCCGTGGGTGGTGACCTCCCTCGTCCCCCCGCCCCCTCCCCGCCGGCAGAGCTCCAGTGAGCGGTTGGTGCAGAAGGCCTGTCCGCTCGTCAACATGTATCTGGCCGGGGGTGGTGACCTCCCTCAGTCCCCCCCCCCCCGCCGGCAGAGCTCCAACGAGCGGCTGGTGCAGAAGGCCCGTCTGCTGGTCAACATGTACCTGGCCGCCGTGCCGGCCGACAGCCTGCCGACGGCCGACCAGGCGCCCGAGCGGCTGGCGCTCGCCCAGAACATCATGCACCACGTGCTGGACGACTTCCTGCCGCGTGACGAGCCGCTCCGGTGAGCTCACCGCGCCCCGGCGGCGTCCGGCGCGCTCCGGCCTGGCGGTCACGGGCGCGAGGAGCGCCGCGTGGGAGGGCGCGCGGAGTAGCCAGTCTTCAGATGGGGACACGACCCGGCCGTCACACGTGCTGGAAGCTAGGGGCCTGCGCAATCGCGGATCGCATGTTCGCGCAGTTTTTTAACAATGGAAATTCTTAAAGATTGTTCCGTGTAGTTTTTTAGGCCTTTGCCTACAAACGTCTTATTTTGGATAACTTTTATTGCAGCATTGCTATAGCAACAAAACATGGCCTCATCCATTCCATCAACATCGAGAGCATAAATGTTACTCTTGCAAAAAGCTGCACAAGGCTGCAACCGGGCCCGGATCTGGGCGGCCAAGGGACTCGCAGCATTGGGAGGCGAACACCGCTTCGCTGTAAAAAAAATCGTCGACCGTAATAATGGCGGACCATGGGTGTTGGTATATGCACCGATCGCGCGTTCGTCGACGCACACCACAGATTCGTCCATTTCGGGGTGTTTCTAAGGATTACTGTTGCACGCTTGGAGCCAAAGCCGATAAAGACGTCAAGCGAACTGTGTGCGGTAGACGAGATTTCCACCTGCAAGTGGAAAAACCCTCGCTAATCGATGTTGAGTTAACGTTGTTTGCCACATAGATACGGCGGTTGTTGACCTGGAAGTGTCTGCTGTTTTAGCCTTCGTCCAACACAGTTTGCTGTTACCTGAACGAGGAACTGGGCGCCGAAAACGATACGCGTACTGCGCAGCTCACGGGTAGCAATGTGCATCCACCAAAAACAACGTTTTTTACAGTTTTTGCTGGCGTTCGCAAAAACAACGTTTTTGACATTTTTCGGTGGCGTTCACCGAAAAGGCGCTCAAACTTTATTGAATTCATCGACCGAACTTACCACGGGCAAGTCCACAGAGCCTTCCAGTCCTTGGGCAGTGTGATAGGTGTATAAGTGAAATCATTGCGCCGCTGAACCTCTGCGTGTTAGATTGCCGTTAAGCGCGGACATTCCAATCCATTCATAAGGCCGTTGGTAAGGGTTCCAGCAGGTATTTGGCTGCATTCGCTCGGGTTTTAGGACGATCCACACGACGGCGACGCGTCTGTTACGGTCCCGACTCGATGCCCGCGGCCCATGGCGAGCCCTGCGTAACTGTGCTGAGCGCGGCCACCCCCGGCCGTCCGTCGGCGGCCGGGACCTGAGGCGCGCCCGCGTGCCGCCAGCGGCGCCGGAGACGAGCCCAGCCCGCTGCTGCTCCACATCCGCCAGCTCTGGGAGACGGCCGTCGGCCAGGGCTCGCTGTCGGCCAGTGACGTTACGGAGTTCCGCCGGCTGCTGGCCCGCGGCGGCGCCGTCTGGTTCGTCAGCTCCACTGTGGGGGTAAGCGCGTCGGCCGCCGCTCGGCGAGGACCTCTGGCCTGGCCCGTGTTGGGCCGACGGCTGACAAAGCTCGCCAGAGACGCTATGGCTTTATTTTCCCGACATGTGTGCCCCGGAAGCCGATTTTCGTTCTCCCCTCCCCCAGGATGGTGACTTGGGCACAATATCACCAACGATCTGCCGCCTAGCGTGCTGCGCCTCGGCCTGATAGTACCTCTGCCCGCCGACAGATAGTGCTGGACTACCCGTTTGAGCGGGAGCGAGAGCGCGCCGAGCAGATGGCGCTGGCCGTGTTTCACCTGGACCTGCCGCTCTGCGCGCTGGCACTCGCCTGGCACGTGCTCGTAGACTTCTTCGGCACCGGCTATGGGTGTGTAGCGAAGCGAGCGTGGAGTTGTTGTCCCCGGTCTAGGTGACCCGCGTCCTGTCAGGATATTGGAAGGGGATAGTAAGAAGCTTTGGGCGCAATCCGTCCCTATTATCCTCTATATTGCTTCACTCTACATCCTCGCGACACCCGCTTGTCTGGAGCAGGCTACATATGTCAGCCACGGGTGGGCCGAGAGCCCCGTGGGAAGGAAGACCCTGGCCGGGTTTCCAGCGCGCATGCGCGGATTAAAAAGCCCAGTGGTGGGCCCCCCAGGCGCATCAAGGTCTGCCCCACCATTAACCGTTTTCCTTCATCCCATATCCGTGAAATAATTATTTTTGGTCAAAAGGGCTCTTATAAAAAACGAGCTTTGGTTGATTTCCTTGTTGTACAGTTAACTGGTGCAGCATAATCACCGGCTGTTTGGATTATATTTTGAGTAGCTCTGGTGCCCCTACAGGTTTTGGTGATAAACGTGAACAGCTTTCATCCTTTGTCAATGTCGGTTGGAAATGAGGCCACGCACCGGGGAAGGCTGCCTCTGGTCACCCTCGACTCTGCACACGTTTGTGCGGCAGCCACGCGGGTCTGTCGAAGCTGGCGTGTCTGGCCCTAACCCCGCCTCCCACGCGCGGCAGCCATGCGGGTCTGTCGGAGCCGAAGCTGGCGTGTCTGGCCCTAACCCCGCCTCCCACGCGCGGCAGCCATGCGGGCCTGTCGGAGCCGAAGCTGGCGTGTCTGGCTCTAACCCCGCCTCCTGCGTGCGGCAGCCACGCGGGCCTCTCGGAGCCGAAGCTGGCGTGTCTGGCCCGGCTGACGGTAACGCTGCTGCTGCTGGCGGCCGACGGCCCCGCCCCGAGTGCCGCCGCCTCGTCCGAGTACCAGTGGCTGAGCTACCAGCTGCTGACGCGGCCGGCGCCGGCCACGCCGCCTACGCCTGATCTCATCTCGGCCGACGAGTACGAGCGGCCGCTGGCGGCGGCGGCGGCCGACGGCGCGCTGCCGGCGCTGGCGCGCGCCTGTCGACTCATCGCCGCCCAGATCACGGCCGTCGCTTACGAGAGCAAGGTTGGCGGGAGCGAGGGTGGACGGGGCGTGGGCGACGGGCGACGCACAGGGTTGGGCGGGGCCCCTGGAGTGTGCAATGTTATGAATTCGGTATCGCCCGAACAAAGTGGACTCACAGTGGACAAAGATGTTTGGAGTTAATAACGGCCGGCACAGCTGGTGCCACAGAACTACTTGTCCCCCCAACGGTTTGGGAAGACCGCCGCGAACTTAGGTCATGTCCACGCGTGTACGGTGTTCCGGTGTGGCTTGTGGCGGCGGTGGCTGGAGGAGGGCAGGGCCGCCATCCAGACGTGAAAAGCGCACCCATCCCCGCCGGGGGACAGCCGCTGCTGTACCCAGCGGCCGGCCGGGCTGGGCGCCTCTGACCGGGGCCGCTGCTCGCCCGCAGGTGACCGTGTGGACGTTCTTCGCGGTGCAGTACATCACGGAGGCGACGCGGCGCGGCGGACAGCGCATGCACAAGCTGCTGGGCTCGCTCACTCTGGCCGCGGTAGGTGGGGCCCCCGCCGGCGCCGGCCGTCCGGGGCTGGAGTCTGGGGCTGTCCGGGACTGCAGTCTGGGGCCACCCGAGGCTGGAGTCTGGGGCCACCTGGGGCTGCAGTTTGGGGCCACCCGTGGCTGCAGTCTGGGGCTGCCCGGGGCTGCAGTCTGGGGTCATCCAGGACTGCAGTTTGCAGTCTGGGGCCGCCTTAGCGACGACCTGCTCACGCTCGGCTCTGTGTCTGGGCCTCTAACAACCATGGAGTGTTTCGCGACTGAGCAAAAAATAACGGTATTGTGGACTCTGTAGCGTGCCACCTTGTGATGAAGTGTGCCACCCTATTACAAGTTTCACGCGGCGCCCATCAAAGGCTAGGGGTCTGAGCACAGGACGTAATCCGGTATGACGCGCACCAGATGTGTGCTGCTGCCGCGCTGAGCCACTCCCGCGCGAGGTCTGAGCTCGCCAGCGAGCGTCGGTTGACGTGACTGCTGCGCTGGCTGGGCTGCAAGTGACGCCGCCCGCCGTCGCCAGGTGTGGCACCTCATGTGCGCGTCGCCAGCCTCCTTCACGCCGGACATGATGGCGCGCCTGCTGGACGTGCACGACGGCCAGGGCCGCAAGATGGCCGCCAAGGTGCTGTGCCAGCTGCAGTCGCTGCAGGTGGACGACCGCGAGGACGGCCGCTGACCTGACCTGACCTATCCAGCGTGGCGCCGCCGAGATGGTGGGACGTCCACGGGGCCGGCGTCCGCCGCCCGGCCCGTCCGTCCAGGCCGACACGCAGCCTGCCTGCGCTCGCCCCACCTGCGAGCCAGGCTACAGCGCGCGCTGCGGCGCTACACATTGCCGCCCGGTACAAATGCCTCATATGTGGAGGCGCGTATGAGTCGCGCTGGCCGCGCTCCGTGCCGGGCCGGCCAGCTGCGGCGGCCGACAGCTGGCGACAAGATTAAAGCGACACGGATCGGTACGGCATGCTTTATTGGCGTCTCTCGACGCGGAGCTGACGAGTGCAGTACACGCGATTCTTCTCGGATGGAGTGTAGAGACGACGAGCGCGGCCGGAGTCACGACCGGTCGTACCCGGCCCACCATGAACAGCATTACACCGGAAACATAGAAAAAACACCGCTCCTAGTCCATCCGGGTCTTCACAGTGCGCGTGGTCACCTTGTCCTTCTCACTGAAAGCAAAACAACGCTTATTAGGCACCCAACGACGCGAGCAACAGACAAAGCAAAGACATTCGAGACAAAGCAACGTCCTGGCATGACCCATGATCAGGGCCGGTGGCGACATCCCTGCAAGGCGTCACCCGCCAACAAAACAGGCCAGTCCTTGGGGCGGAGGACTGCGGAGGCGCCGGTGACGTCACCAGAGTGACTTTCATAACGGGCGACGTACGCAGACAGATCAGCGATCGGGGAATGAATCAGCAGAACGACGCCGTTCCCATCCCCTAAACCGGCTTCCACTCTTAGCACAGATAACCACACAATCGCGCGTGCCCGCGCGAAGTCTGAGGAGGCCCATGCCGAGCCCCAGTCGGCGCGCAAGTCGGCCGGCGGCGGCTCGACCTCACTCACATGACGTGGACGATGGCGCCCCAGCCGGTGCCGGCGTTGCGGTCGAAGCCGTTGATGAGCGCCTGCGCGATCGTCTCGAACAGGTCGTCCGGCTCGAGGTCCGGCTCCCAGAGCGACTCGCACATGCCGTACATCTGCCGGCGGACGGCGGATTGGTCACGGTCAGGACGCCCTCAGCCGCGCACGGACCGGCTCGGCTGGCGGCCGGCACGGGCAGACCAGCCGGGGCGGGGTCACGCCGGCGCCGCCCGGCTTCCTGTCCGACCGGGAGCGCGCCGCGCGCTGCGCCCCACCCCAGCGCGAGCTCGGGACGAGTGCGGCGCCGACATCGACAGCCGGGCTCCGATCCGGCATCGTGGAGACGCAAACGAGCGGAGAAGCTCGACTCGTGACTGCGCGTGAAAGTCTGCAAAGCCGTCGCGCTGGTCCGCGGCTCCAGGGGCCGCATGCGCCAGTAGCGGCGGGCCGCGCCCTCCAGCGCCGGCTGGCGTTCCCACCCGCGGCCCGGTCTGGGTCACGTGCCTGCTCGTTGCAGACGCCCGACACCACGAAGTCGTCCGTCTCGGTCTCGCAGCCGATCAGGTCCATGACGTTGAGGTAGGGCTTGCCGTCGTCGTCGATGCCCGCCACGATCGGCTCCACGAAATAGGGTCCGAACCTGCGGGCGGCGCCACGAGCGTCATTGACATCACGGCCGCCGATGCCCGGCCGACGTCCGGCCCGCGCCCCGGCCGCCCGGCAGCGGACCAACAGTCTGCGGTGCCTGTACTCCACGCACGCACGCACGCACGCACGCACGCGCACGCACAGCTGCACAGGGTGTATGCCACCGCAGACAGTTGGACTGTGGGAAGGCTGCTGGACGGAGGCACAAGAATAGGCCCCGCATGTTTGGAAACATTATGACCAATGTATTACTTAGCCATAAACATAGAAAACCAATGTCATGCCTACACTAAGCCGCACCAGATGTAAAGCATTGCCTATTACAAAGGAGCTAAACAGCTGATGTAATAGGCGCAGCTTGATATTTCCAACCGTCGCCAGCAGCGCTTGACCCGCCACCTGCCGCACCGTAAGGGGTTTGGAAGTTGGCACCAAACACGCGCACCTGGACCCTGGAATCGGATCCCGGGGTCGCAGCACGAGTCCCCGATAACCGATCTTACTGGATATAGGCTCCATTTCGATCCATGATCAGTTCTCAAATTTTGCCGATGCATCTACTGGAATGTTTAAGTCTTTAGAGTTACGTCGAAGCATCTTCTGTCACGAAGGTGCTTTATCAGTGGTTCGTTTAAGCAATTTTTACATCAAGATAAATGCTGCCTCAAGCGGGCTGAACTGCTTCCGTTCAAAATTTAGCTTCGCCAAAACTGCTTATGCGGTTTCTACACTTAGCAAAGCCTACAACGCATGCATAGCGACACTGAACTGCATGGTTTCAAAAATAAAGATAAAGAGGAGTGCGCCAAATGGAACGCCGCCGCCTTGAGAAAAATATCAAGTTCGTTTATTGGAGCCCAAAGATATGAGAGGCTGCGCCAGATACAACGTCTCAATGTCGACATAAAAAATCCAAGCTGCTTTTAACCGTTCCGAGCACTGGCGTTGACAAGTGTTGAGCTTTTCTTCCCTTGCTGACGAGGCCGCTTGCCTGGTTATTCAGTCAATGTCAAAATGAACATGTAGACACCATCTAACTACGTCACGGAACCGTCGGCTGGGCGCGTGGGGCTCTGTCGGCCGCAGCCGGCCGGTCTGTGTACAGCGATCCACGCCTGCCAGCTCGGCTCCCTGCTCCCTCCCTCATCAAGCCCGGCGCGCGGGGCTCTGTCGGCCGCAGCAGGCCGGTCTGTGTACAGCGATCCACGCCTGCCAGCTCGGCTCCCTGCTCTCTCCCTCATCAAGCCCGGCGCGTGGGGCTCCGTCGGCCGCAGCAGGCCGGTCTGTGTACAGCGATCCACGCCTGCCAGCTCGGCTCCCTGCTCTCTCCCTCATCAAGCCCGGCGCGTGGGGCTCTGTCGGCCGCAGCCGACCGGTCCGTGTACAGCGATCCACGCCTGCCAGCTCGGTTCCCGGCTCTCTCCCTCACCAAACGGCATCGATCACGCGATACCGCTTCCGTGGTGCCACGACCGCGGTCCGGCTGTGAGCATTATCTCCCAGCGATCGTCTTTTTGCCACCTATAACATTTCATCCCCCTTTTCTAATCGAAAAGGGATGAAGTTGCAATGATGCTGCGATGTTGCTGGGAAACGCCGCGCGATCGAGCTGCTTGTACTCAGATGCACTACGCATTCTGCAGCAGAGCTGTTCGATAACTGAGCTACTGGTTCTTGAAAATGCCATGGTGACGCAACGCTTGCAAAGACATAAATCCGTCAAGATCATGAACCTGACCGGGCCCGGCTGCGTTGTTGAAGCTACAAAGTTTCCAGCCAGCTGACATTTAGGCAAGCTCAGCTGGCTCGTAAAAATACACGATGAGGCACTGTCCTCACTGAAATGAAACACTGTCCTCGTCAATGGCGTTATTGCTTGCATGGCGTTTCGATCGTCCTGAACCGCGCCGTTTAAGCGCAAGTCCACCAGCTGCACGACCGAATGTTCGGAGCTCAAAGGTGTCAGAAACTTTCCAGGCTGTGACATGTTCCAGACGGATGCAATGACTATGCGAAACCTCACGTCCTTGAAACTTGCGAAACCTGAGAATGGCCTCAGGCCCTTCTCAGCACCAGCTACCGCCTGACGACTGGCGGAGAAGTGTTACGTCCGGTCGTCGCTTTGAACCCTCCCAAGAACCGCCCTCACCGTTGCGCAGAAAATACCGCGGTCGACGATGGTTAGATCCATTTTTTAAATACTCCTCGAGAATTCAGCTCCCTTCACCAGTTCCACACACATCTAGGTAACTTTGTGGTCCTCAGTATGGGAACCGAAGAGCCTTGCTGCATCGTGTACTTTCGATGAGCTAATTAATACCTGCAATATGACATCAAAGTTACCAGCTCGTTATTCAGCGAAATTCCTCAATACGACAATCTCTCACGGAAACATGATGTTGAAACTACGTTGCCACGTCTTGGGAAAAACCACGCTTAGCAGTCGCACAGTTATTTCCCTTTTGAACGAAATTACCCTGGAGCATTAGCGTTTGTACCTTCCTTCTGGTGTAAGAAACTGAAATCTGGTAGAAACTTCCTCTGGGAGAAGAAACTTAATTTCTTAATCCATCTCACCATGTGCCCACTTAGCAGATGGATGATCTAGGTATGCAAGTCTGAATTTGAGGCAATCGAGTCCGGCGTTGAATGGTCTGCCTTGGCACGTCACCGAGTTGGCCAGAGCCAGCACGGGACGGGTTTTGCTCACCGTGCTACCCATATAGGACGAAACGCTCCAGAAGCACAGGATATTCCCAAAGCACAAGGTATTCCGGAAAACAGACGGACAGGGTGAAAATGGCTACAACCCAAACATTCATCCCAGTTGAGTTCTTCATTTCCTGGCGTCTTACTTCTGGCGGCTTGCTGACAAGTCCACAGGCACGCCGGGGCTGTGAGGCTTGGCACCCGCACAGACCGGCGAGGCACACGCCCTGCTGGCAGCATCCCTGGCTCACCTGCGCTCGTACAGGAAGTTGGAGACCATAGACCCAAACGTTTTGGGCTCGACGCGTCGGTTCTCGCGCAGCTCGTACAGATTGAGTCGGAACTTGAGCCGCTCGTGCACCGTCTGCGTGTCCGTCAGCAGGCCGGGCAGGCCCAGGTACAGCCGTGGGCCCATCTCGAACACTTTCTGCGGGCGCCAGCGGTGGCAAACCGTGAGCGACTGCCGCAGCGGCCACACATCGCACCGAAGTCCGCGGCAGAGGAAGCCACGACTGACCACAACAATCACAGGACCCTGACAGTGACCCACAGCAATCACGGGCCCTGCACAACGCGGCGCACATCCAGCCACCGATAAAGGCGCCGCACCCGTGCCGCCAGCCGTGGCGCGGCGACCGCGGCGCGAGCCGGAGGGCCCGCCCAGGGGGCGATCACTGACCGGGAAGCTGGTGCCGTGCGTGTGCAGCCGGATGCCGTAGCGCAGATCACTGGCGATCGCCACGCAGTCCTTGCCCTTCATGGCGATCACCGCGCCGCCGTTGTACTCCAGGATACTCTGCCGAGCAGCGGTCAGAGTCACCCACAGCAGTGGTGGTCTGGGTCACCCACACCAGGTGGTGGTCAGGGTCACCTACACCAAGTGATGTCATGGTCACCCACACCAGGTGCTGGTCAGGGTCACCCACACCAAGCGCTGGTCAGGGTCACCCACACCAGGTGGTGGTCAGGGTCACCCACACCAGGTGGTGGTCAGGGTCACCCACACCAAGCACTGGTCAGGGTCACCCACACCAGGTGGTGGTCAGGGTCACTCACACCAGGTGGTGGTCAGGGTCACTCACACCAGGTGCTGGTCAGGGTCACTCACACCAGGTGGCAGTCAGGGTCACATACACTAGGCAGCAGCCAGGGCCACCCCCATCAGGCATCACCTCATGTGTAGGAGGTAGCAGGTGGGGCTCATTGTGGCATGACCCTATATAGAGCATTATCTCCTACAATGGTCACAGCCAGGCAGTGAGGCCAGCTGAATCCAGCAGGGATCACACCCAGGTCTCCATCATGGAACCTGGGAACTATCCCAGTTGTGACTAGCTTGAACTTAACTTGAAAAAGTGCATTTGTTGATTAAGTCATGACAGTAAGCTGCTGTGTGGTCAAGCCACTTTGCTGGTGCCCTGGCATCTGATGCCATTGGAATCAATGGGATTGAGCTGAAGCTGTACAAAGGCATAGCAAATAACATGAACTGCAATAACTGTAGGCATATCAACTGACTGCTCTGAAATGCATGAAGGGAATGTTAGAACAGCCATGTATTTTATCAAGATATGCTGATTATTATAATGTCCATCATCTTTCTCACTTTAGCTGTGCAGTGCTGACATTTCATTAAGCCCTAAGTGCTTGAACATTGCCTTAAAAAACTATATTGGTATATATATAATATATATATATATATATATATATAATATATATATATATAAACCTGTTCGTCAGTTTTATT